TGAAAAGGTTTTTCATTTGTGTGTACCCTACAACATACATACATAGGAAAGAGGCATATGTTAGATATGTACGTAATAATTTATTAGATTCATCTACCACAAATAAAATAATACAAACCGTTCATGTTTCACGTGCGTGCTACGATCTGTAAACCTCCGGAAGCAGTATTGACATTCGTAGGGTTTTTCTCCTGTGTGTATGCGCATGTGCGCTGTCAAGTTACATGCCGCCGTAAAGCGCTTAAAACACAATCTGCCAGCAAATGTTCAAAAAAGTGTTAGCATTTAATATGTTTGTTATTTATCGCATACTTACTCGCATTCGAAATTTTTTTCTTGACGGTGTATACGCATATGATAATTTCTCAAGCTACGGTTGGTGAAATGATTACCGCAAACGTCACAGGAAAACATTAAAGAAAAATTCGCTTTTCTGCGAATATGCGGCGAGCTGCGTTGTTCTCGATCCCTAATTTTAATAGTCGCTGTACTGGGTCGGTTCGAGGCGAGCTGCTCACTTGATTCTAATTCTTGCTGAGCAACTGATCCTATATCACTTTCATCTATCAGATACTCCTCCATCTGTACCACTGATCTGTTGGTTTCAGACCTTTCATAACCAGGTTCTTCTCCTTCATCGCAACCATCGGCTTCAGTTAAATCCTCAATAAGCTGCATGGTAGACTCCGATTCTGCATCTGCATTTTCTTCAACGTCTAAATTCGGTTCAACTTCAACATCGGCTTCAACATGTACATTTTGTTGAATTATAGAATCTTCTTCCTTAATTACGGGTTCTTCGATTATGTAAAATAGTTCATCGGTTTCTTGCTCCTGTTCGTCGTCACTGTTGGGTAATATTTTCTCGTTTTCCGTGTTTTTTTCTACACCAAGTGTATTATCTGTTTCATTAACATTGCTATCTTCTTCATTGTTTAAACTGCATTCGTTGGTATCTTCTTGTTTTTGGGCGTCGTCATTAATATAATCCATATCCATGCTACATTCTGAGTTGGATTTACTTACAAGTAAAGCCTCTTCTTTATTATTTGTTTTGCTGTCATCGAACCCATCTAATTCATTTTCTTCATGATCGTCATATGAGAATTCGTGTTCGAAATTTTCCACATCTCTGTTAATTTTATTTAACTTATTATTAAATGTTGCTCCGCCTACTTTATCATTATCCTTCATCACGAAGAATTTTGTGGTCGTTTTAACATGTTGTGTTCTTTGAGATTGCTGCATATTAAAAGCTGTGGTTGTTCTCGGAATAGCTCTCATTAATTTAGTTGGACATATTTCTTTATCATCTCCGCCATCTCCAATTTTCTCAGCAAGTACTGGTGAATTTATCAATTTATCCTTATTAATTTTTAAATCGTCGTCCATTGTTGAATCGTGTAGCGCTTCGTCTTTATTTGCAGATATCAATTCAGCATCTTCCTTAAAAATCTCTTCAAGTAATTCCACTGAATGTTCTCTCCGTTTATCCATTTTTAACATAGACGTAGCCGATTTTGTTTTTTGAATAACTGACTGCAAATATTCTTCTGAGCTGCGGCATGTTTGACTAAAGTGGCATGCATATTTTAGCAGTAGCACACATTTACGGCAAATCTTGTCAGGTAGATTGTCGCTGTTATTCATCTGAGAACAATATTCTGCGATTGGAACTTTTTAAAGGTATCAAGTAATAATTGTACAAACCTGTACGCCAGCAATATCATAAATTTGTTTGGCCATTTTGCTATCAATCAGAATATATTTTGGATGATGTTGTTGCTCCTCTGCTAAACAGACACGACAAACGTTCCACTTAATGCTAATTTCCATGGTTGGCATTCAGTTGATAATTTTCCTTTAACTGCTTATTGTCCAGGGAATCTTCCAAATATTTACTCTAAAAACACATCGGCCAAATAAAAAAATAAAACCAGTCAAAAGTGTCAAATAGAGCTGTCGAACTATAGACGATACTATCGATAGGCTGGTCACTTGAAATAACTATCGATAGTTTTAGTACTATCGCCACTATCGTTTCATTGATAACGTATTCTTGTTGTTGTAGCAGCATAAAAGTTCCCAAAGGATTTTTGGGGAGTGTTGCTGGAGTGACAGTCCTTGGCCAGATATAAATCTGGGACGTTCCGGTTACGTAGACCCGACTGTCGTGGGAACGGATAACGTATTCTCTTTCCTGGCGCTTTTGTTATTTGCACGTATTGGTTCAAAGAGAACAAAAATTGGCAGCATTATTTCAGGAACGAACGCAAGAATGATAGAATACACGATCCAGATTCTATCATTCTTGACCCAGGACGGTGTGCGGAAAAAAGTATTTTTTTGCAGTAACGTAATTGTTTCGCCGCCATGTGAATGAAACAACCGATTAAAAAATTACGTTATCAACTATAATTTGTTTTTCAAAAAAGAAATTGCAGAAAGCAGTTGCATGAGCAGTGGCACTTTGCATGTAAAGTGTCATTCGAAAGAACTTTTTTTCCGAAAGGCGAATTGCAGGGAAAATTTTTGGAATCGTTTTTTGACTGTTTACACGGCGAATGAATTTCTAGCAATATTTCTCGATAACAAAATGCAACCGTGAGCACCAAAAATAAACAAATTTATAAAAGCAAGATAACGAAAAATAAATGGATTTAGAAAAACATTTGAAATGGGTAGATACTATTGATAGTATCGATAGCCACCCTTAAGAATATCGTAGAACATCGATGGACCTAGGAATTTTCGAAGAAAGTATCGATATCATGAATCAATTTAATTCATTGCATGTAAAGTCGATATGGCGATATATCGGGCTAAACAATATCGATATCGAAAAAATCGATGTTGAAAATCCTACTCCCAATTGAATAGAATATTAAATTGTGTTATTTCCAATTTGTATATTTATTGAGGATTAAAACTGCATGCCGGTCGACTCAAGCGGTTTGTTAAACTTAAGAGCTAAATAAATCACACAAGCTGCTACTTTAGTAAAGTATCGATGTCTTCGATATATCGACCTTGGAATATCGATTCAAAAAATCGATTATCATGCCCAACCCAAAAGTACTCCTCGGAGACCAATTGGTGAAAAACTGCGAAAAGGTTTATTACTGTATATACTGTGGTATACGGTTTATTGTGCCATGCACTGAAGTTTACGAGGTTGCTGGCAGATCAATTTTGCGTCTTAATTTTACGAGGGGCTCGTAAATTAACAAATTTTGACAGCTCTTTTACGAGGCTTATAAAATTCCGAACTTTACGACGTTTACGAGGCTTTTACGAGTTTAAGGGAAGACTCCTAAAGGCCCGTTTACATACAACTTTGGCGTTGCGTTGGCGTTGGCGTTGGTTTGACAGAACGCACGTTAAAAGTATGCTTGCTACAATGAACGCTTGGCGGCGAATCCTTGGGCCACTAAATTAACATATTAACGACAGATAAATTAATATTTCATATCAATAATTGCATTAAAAACGATATTTCTTGCCCGCACTTGATTAAAAAGGAAAAATATTTCACATAATTTTATTTATTCGCAACAGCTGACGAGCGACGCACGCGAAAAGTTGAGAGTTGGCCATCTTTTTGCTTTGTGTTGGCGTGAGCGTTGTCGAATTTTGGCTATGTGGACGGCTGCATTTGAATTCATGTATTCATAGTCAGCTGTTGAAGCGACGCCAACGCCAACGCAACGCCAAAGTTCTATGTAAACGGGCCTTAATTGTTTTTTTTTTTTTTTGGTTTTTAGCTAAAATTTTTATTTTCGCCTACTTCTGTATATTAAGCCTGTTTTTTTATTTATATTTATTTGCAATAATTATAATATTTCTTTTGAGACGCCCGGTGTTGATTTTGGCAGTTTGTATTGTCAAACAATTCGCGACAAATAACAAATACATATTTGTATAAGGGATGGAATTTCAAAATTTAAAAATGTGCCTAATGGTCTTCAAATGTAGTGCCGTAAAGAGAAAGTGCTCTAAAATTAAAATTTCGTTCTTTCTGACGTGTTTACACATTCATACAGTGAGACATTTTGGCCAATTTTAGTTTTTATTGATTTTATACAAAAGTCTAACTCATAAGTAATTTACCATACACCATATATGTACAACATTACATTTCAACATTTCGACATTTCAAACTTTGTACAAAAACTATAAAAATTCAGCAGCTTTTCGCACAGCAAACCTTTAATTCAGAATGTTTAGACAGATTCCAAGTTTGCAATTTTACGTTTTTTTTCTTATAAAAGGTGCTTGAAAGTTTTTTAAATGGTTGAAAACATATCAAAATATAAAAACCATCAAGAATCAACGAGATTTTGCAGATACTTGCAATTTTGTTAAATAGACTATAAAACCACAAACTTAGAATCTTGGAGAAGAGGATAATTGTGCAAGAAGTGCCTCTGAGAATGAAAGTGCCAGAAATGGCACTATTGTGCCTTAATTTCCATCACTGATTTGTATGCTTTGCGATACTCGTTCTTATATCGATCAACTGGAAATATTTACAGAACCTTTATTTTTAATTATAATTTTCAAGAAAAACATATTGTGTTGGAAACATCCCAGTAATGCATGTGTACGATTCGTGTCGTATTTGCCTCACTGAGGACATTAATACAAGCACAATGCAGCCATTGTTTGATGATGAAGACACTTGTGCGGAGATTGTGCATCGAATCGAACTTTGCGGGGGCATAGCGGTAAGCGCTGTTGTCCAATTACATATAATTTGGTTACTATAAATGCGTATATTTTTAATTGATCTGATAATATTGCTACAGTTAAAACCACATGAGGAGTTTCCTAAGATGATTTGTTCCCAGTGCCTGGATAAGCTAAATGTTTCTTTCAAATTTCGATCGATGTGCCAAGCGAGCGAGCACGCTCTTCTAGATGCGATCGTAAAGGTATCGTCTATATTTTATTTTTATTTTTTACATTTTAATTAAATATAATTTTTCTATAGTCGGAAATGAAATCGGAACCCCAAGAGTATGACAACGCCCAGATGATGTCAAATGATGATGATAACGGGGAAAGTGAAATGTTCTTTGACATGCCTACTGAATTTATAGACGCTGAAGAGGTTGGCCTGGAAGATATTACCGAAAAAGTAGAACAAGAAGAAGAAGTCATTGTGGAGTCCGATATGGAACTTAATACAGAGAGTGCTGAGGAGTTCATTGAATGTACCGACAGTGAATATTTTGAAGAAGAAGAAGTGGAGGAACCCAAGGTTAAAGTTAATACAAAACAAACGCATATAAAAAAGGAACCATTATTGGGTGAGGAAAGTGTTCGCAAACGACCACGGCCAAAAGCGAAAACTGGTATCACCATAAAATCAGAATTACACAGAGGAAAGAAGTCGAATCGAGGAAGAAAGAAGAAGGAGGAACCAGAGATGGCGAGCATAATGTGTGAAATTTGTGGTAACATATATACAAAGCGTAACTTATTAAAAATGCATATGCGCCGACATATGGCCGAAAAACCATTCGCATGCGAGTAAGTAAAAGTTTAAATTTGTAAAATAAGTAGTTAATACATTTTTCTTTTAGAATTTGTGGCAAGACTTTTGCGTGTCCCTCGGAAATCGGCCGTCATATGCGTGTACATACTGGCGAGAAGCCATACGTTTGCAAATACTGTGGTCGAACATTTGCTGATCGAAGCACGAATATTAAACACGAAAGGTTCTTTGTGATAATATTAACTATAATTACTTTTATAACGATTCTTCTTTTTATAAAGAATTCATACAAACGAACGACCGTTTACTTGTCAGACATGTGGTAAATCTTTTACTTACTCTAATGTTTTAAAAAATCACATGTTAACACACACAGGCGAAAAACCATTCCCGTAAGTACGGTTTTGTCTTTTTAATTTTCAATATTTTATTGTAGAAATCTAATTAATCAAAGTGAACTATATCATTAATTACCAGTTGTATACCATGTAATAAGACATTTTCACGCAAGCATCAATTAGATCAACACATTGCAACTATAACTCATCAACAAACAGTTAGAAATCAGGTTGTAGCAGACGTTAAAATGCAGGAATTATTACATCACGTGCAGCCAAATCAGCACATTACCACTATAATGCACCAGCAGGCAATGAGACATCCCAAACTGGCAAATGTCAAAGTGGAGCATGTGATACGTCAAATAAACCCAAATCAGCATATTGACTCAATGGCTATCCAAAATACAATTACAAATGTTGAAGAAGTGGGTGAGGAGTATCAACGCCACAACGACGATGTTTATATTAATGCTGAATAAGTTGGTTTGGATACGTAATGAAATGATTTTTTTCTTTGATGACTACATGTATGTACATATCGTCGTTTAAAGTGCAAAACCGCGTATCAACAAAATGCAAAACCGCGTATGTGAAGTTGTAGAAATTATTTTCTAGAGCGTAAAAACACTCATATTTCAAAATGGTTCTCTTTTTTATAAAGCAATCGCATATATTTCAGGACGAATGGATAAGGATTGAGACAAGAGTTTGTGTGAGCAAATCCAATTTTTGGCAGCCAATGTCAGTTACGCGGTTTTGCACTTTAAACGAAGATATGCATACTATGTGTTTAGAATATGTACTATTGAGCCACATTGCAGTATGTATTTTATTAGGTAACGACAATGAGTGAAAACTATTCATCACAGAAATGATTTTATAATTTTTGGATGAATAGCTTTTAATAAATACAAATACCTTTAAAAATAGTTTTTTTTTAGCCTTTATTTCAACTACTTTGTACGCCAGAAGGGTCGCAGTTTAAATCCCACTGAGGCCAAACAGAGTCTGATGTGGTGATTTCTTTTTATTCTTAAAAGAGTTAACGTTATCAAGAACTCATTGTAAAGATATTTGAAGCAAAGCATTTTTTTAATGTTTTAAAGTATTCATATATTGATAAAAGTTATTCCAATGCCTCATTCTTTTGCTGAAGGAGTTTTCTTTGTTGCTCGCGCTCAACATTTTGTTTGTGTGACAAAGTACGATTATGTGTACTGATATGGGTTGGAAGTTGAAAAAACTTATCACACGGCACACATCTGTGAAAAATTTCTTTCACTAAAGTAACATTTTAATTTGAAAATTTTGTAAATCTACTTACTTCAAGGGGCGTTCACCAGTATGCACCAGCATGTGATTTTTCAACACATAGGATGCTGTGAAAGCTTTATCGCATTGTGGGCACTTAAAGGGACGCTCGTTTGTATGAGTACTGAAATAGACGCAGATAAAATTAAATTTGCAGTATTTTAAAAGAGATAGTTACCGTTCGTGTTTAATTCGTGAGCTATAGTCGCTGAAATGTCGTGGGCAATATTGGCAAGGGAATGGACGCTCTCCTGTATGACGCCGCATATGGCGCTTAAGTTCGCCTTCGGTGAAAAACTTACTTGGACAAATGCTGAAGTAAATAATTATATTATGTTTATATGCACTGAGCTACTTATTTATGGGTAGATTACAGATTGCAACCGAACTTCACTTGGTATTACAGATGGATTTTATTGCCTTCAACTGCGGTTGCGTTGTCATCCATAATCGACCCATTAAATTTTAAAAACTTACTCGCATTGCACGGGTTTTACCCCAGTATGTCGTCTAAGATGTGAACGGAAATGAGTAGGGCACTTAAAATGATTGCCACATTGATCGCAAATATATGTTTTTGCTTTATTTTTCCGTTCTCCTTTGGGTTGATTTTTTCCTTCTCCTTTGAGTTTATTTTTTCCTTCTCCTTTGGGTTTATTTTTTCCTTCTCCTTTGGCTTTATTTTTTCCTTCTCCTTTTGATTTCTTTTTCGGTAGATCTTTTTT